CACTCACTCACTCACTCACTCACTCACTCACTCACTCACTCACTCACTCACTCACTCACTCACTCATCCATTGACCCGTCCATAACATACCCCGACGTGCCAACTAAGAGGTATTTTTTTACAAAAAAATAACTCAAAAATGGTACCCTACTCAGTTAGTTTCATTTATTAATTAGTTATTTATGATTTCCTGTTATTAATTAACAGATTTGTGAGAAAGGTTTATGAGTTGGATCCAAGTACAACAGGGGTTCCATGGCAACCAAGAGGATATGTCAGTAAACGGAAGAATTTAGAAAACTCTCAAACAGAAGTGAAACCTAAAAAGATTTGCACTCCATTACTGGAAGGAGAGGTTTGTTAAATTTGATCTGCTGTTATAAACTGTTCACAAAGTGTCTTTTAGAAGGAAAGAGCAAGGCTTAATTAAGAGGGGTATATGACTGTAGGAAAATATTGATGTTTATAATGAGGATTATAGAATAGCTGAGATACTATGCACGCTCTCATTGGTCGATAGGTTTGTTTAGATGAGAGTATGTAAACAGGGCTGACGTATTAGTATTCCATTCTGGAGAATGTTTTTATAAAAGCAATAGAGTACTGTAAAACAGTTTCAATCTGTGTTTACATTAAGCCTCATCTAAACACTTGGGGGTTTGGGAGAATTTAAGACAGTTACAGTTGTTATGCAAATCCTTGACTGCTCTCCAAACCTGCCTCATGTTTAGATGAGTCAATGTAAACATGGAAAAAATTTTTCTATTGCTAAATTAATAGCCGGATAGTACTCAATATTAACTAAATATATAAAATAGAGGAGATTAATAGTCAGAGCTTACTGTTTTACTGATGATGTCACTTTGAGAAGTGTACAATTGATTGTCTTTGACTCGTCAGGTGAGAAAATCCATCAGCACAAAAAGTGATGATCAGTCCCACTGTAGCAAGTTTTACAAACGTACAGACTGTATATCATCATCTAGTACAGAACAGGGTTCAGACCAGGCTTTGAAAATAAACAAGGTACTTGAATGTGTACTGTAACTTTGATTATGAGCTACTGTTCCAGAAAGAAGCCCACACTTCTTGGGGACAAGGAATGAAGACAGTGACAGAACTTTAGCTCAGCTGATTTGCTGAACATGTTCTTTCCTCAGCATTCAGTCCAATTACCAACAATATTGAAATATTTTCCGTATTTTCATGTTTTTGTGAGGCAACCAATGGAAGTAAAGGGGTGGAAGTGAAGCCTTGGAGCCGACTGGCTCATAGCTGCCGGAGCTTATCCTGGTTTCTGTAGCATGAAGCAGTAGGAGTATTTCTACTCCCCCTGGACGGGATTCTCATTTATCGCAGGTCACTCCCCCACAATTTGTTAGGTTTCCCCAACAATTTGCCAGTACCCATTTATGCTCCTGGCTGGAGAGAGGTACCGTGAGAGTCAAGTGTCTTGCCCAAGAACACAACACAGTGTCCCTGGCCAGGGCTCAAACCCGGACTACTAGATCCGGGAACAAGTGCACTAACCATGAGGCCACCGTGCCTCCACAAGGGGGTGGAAGATTGTCACAAAAAGAAATTTCATGTGCCATCGATGTGATCATTCAATAACATTACAGGCATATGACTGAATCACGATTTCTGCAGTACTCTTCAGGAGAATTGATTAGTACATATTTCAAATCATGTGGTTCACATTATGTATTACTAATTTAATTTTTATATTGCAGGATAATGATTTCAAAAATGTTACCTTAGATGATGTGGATGTTCAAGCCAAAAAGTAAGTTTCATGATATAAAACTTGATATAGTTTGTTTGATCAGATGAGTTTGTAGAAGTCTTGCATTTCAGAGTCACGCTCATCGTACCTAATCATACCTTTTTGGTACGCTTTGGCGGCATACCAGGAGAGTTTGGTCGAGCCATGGTTCATATTTTGGCAAGACGTAGTCAAGCCAAAATACCCATGGCAAGACCAAACCAGCCCGGTATGTTGCCAAAGTATACCAAAAAGGTTCGATTAGGTATTTACCGTTCCCAAATATGGCCAAGTGATCATGATATCATAGCCATATCAGGTCAGTGACTTGATATGACAGGATATTAGGCTTCTGATTGGCTAATTGCAAATTTGGGTGTGGTATGTTACAAAATATTGCTTGCAGTAAAAGAAGTCAAACCAATGTTTCCTTACCAATTACACAGTGCCATTCACCCATTCCATAACAACACAGAACATGAAGAGAGTTAGTTAATTAGCACAACGCACTGTTTATATCAGGAAAAAAAAAACAAGAAACGTTTTTCTTAGTTCTAGCTATCTAACCATTGATAATTTGTTTTGGAATGTTAGGAACAGAGCTAATAAGTTCAAAATAAATATATCTTGTCAGTATTCTAGGTTTGGATTATGAATCTTCTAGTGATTCTGATGTTTCATGACAAAGCTGACAATACCCAGGAAAAACAGGGCAATCATTTAAAGAACATGATGTAACAAGGTAATGTAAAAAAACATGTATGAAGAGAACATCTGAGAGCGTAATTATAATAATCAATTCTTAAAAACAATATTAGAGTGCCAAGAAAAATCAAACTTTTTTATTTAGCATTACTGGTCAGCCCTCCACCAGTTTTATTTTCAATATTTGTTTATTTATTTGCAGCTGAGTGTCCTCAATTATAATAGCACAGCAGTGCTAAATACTTGATGTCATTCATAAATTTTTTGTTGTCATTTTATTTAGCTTGAATAGTTCAGTGTTATTAACTTTTGAAATCAGCAAGGGCCCAGTAACTGGCACACTGTAGCTTATCAACACAGTACTAACAGTCTTAGTTAGCCAGGATGGTCTAAAAAATATGTGCCAAATTAAAGCTGAAAGGTTTCCTATAAACTTGTGCATGTCCCAGTCTATTGCAAATTCCTTGCCTTTATCACTCTGTCAGTTTGTTAACTGCAACTAGATCAACCTCCACTTGCTCCTTGCAGTTCTCTTTTGATTGTCTAGAGGTGAACAGGGGTGGCTGTGATTGCAGGCTAGCAGTTCAGTGGTTGTCCTAGAGAAATACCTGTGCAGTGAAAACACATGTACCAAATGAAGTCATTTACAAATCCAACTGATCTACTTTTTTGAGTTCCCATGGTGATCTTGAGAAAAGAGCTAGATAATAATATTGGCTCAGTCAATATTTCTGTTTTTCCTTTTCATTTTTTTTGTTATTTTTTCGTTGCCTTTAGGTTCTTCAAGCAAAGAGGTTTTACATTCTTTAAATACCACACACTGTGAAGATGTCAACCATAGAGAAAAAAGTGCTTTAAAAAAGAAAGAAAAAGTTATTCAGTAGTATAATTTGTAGATGAATACTTGTAGGTAATAAAGAAAATTATAGTTGTACAAAAATGTTGAACAAGAAAATGAATTGTGTGATTAATGCCCAGGGAAGGTACAACTGAAAAGCCCTATTGGTAAAAAAATTTTAAATACATAAATGGATGGAATTTAGCAACTCATCTTGGTAAAACTGATAGTCTGGAAAATATTATAGCAAGTTGGGGGATTTTTGGTACCTAGTCTACAAATGTTATGTTACAAATAAAACATAGTCTGGCATTAAAGAAGGCTTCAGTGTTACAACACATACCCATCCAAAAATTCGAGAGTTAATCCCCTCCCTACATGCGTCATATCAGATATATGCTCTGTCTATGACTGGGAGATTGACTTATATTGAAAATAGGATATCAACTGTCACTGTATTCATATGGTGCAGAAAGTCACTCATACCAGTGAGCTTCAGAAACTACCGGGAAGTTGTCAGGCTTTAAGAAGACTTTGTCTCCGCCCGTCAATTCATCTGACTGACAAGTGAATGACAATGATGTCATGACCAGCACAAATCTATTATTCCAAGGATCGAAAAGGGTAAAATCCAAAGGACATGCAGGCACATCAAGCCTACGTGCAGAAGTCTACTACTGCCCACCCTTAGTTTTAAGGATGTGGTAGACCTCTGCATACAGGTTACACCTCCCCTAAAAACAGGCTCTCCCGTCTAGCACTTCGTGCAGGTGTAAAAGCGCGTGACTCGCGTTACAATTTATTAACAGAAACAGTGTGATACGTCACGCAACTCCGCAACTGTTTTCGGTTTAGACTCTTGAGTCAAATTGAACACTCTTTCTCTTATCGAGTGAAAGATTAGGACTAAAAACACAATTTGTCCTGCACTGTCTATGTATCAATCTTTTTGGCTCTTTAGAAGGACAGCGAGGAGTAAAAATATCACTCATTAAACGATTGATTCGCGCTGTGATGATCGAACAAGACGATCGCCTTGGAAAAAGTCTCGATAAATTTCCTTAAGAAATAAAAGGAAATTGTTATAAAAATTAATTTACAGCAATAAGCGAGGTCTAGAGAGTGGAGAAGAACAAAATTCCAGCCACCCTGATTCTAGCTATGAGTTGCATAATTACCTTCGGTTAAAAATAGAAATGATGTGCCGAGCGTGACAACCGGAAGTTGATGGAAATTGCCACGTCGATAAAATTTGCGTTGTTCTGCGCGCAGCTAAAACATTACAAAACAAAATAAAACTCTTTATTTCCTGCATTAGGCAGCAGGAACCGTCCATCTTCGCTTTAAACTTAGTGAAAACCATCGCAGAAGGAAAGTTCAGAGCAACAGAGAGAAAAAACATGCGAGTTAAATCCAACGAGTCGGCACAAAATTTGATTTCCGGTTTGAGTACGGACAGCGAGAGTTTTTACGAGGCAGCGACATATCCAATCAAATTTTTGCTCAAGCTTTACCAAACTACAATTATGGAACGAGAAATGCAGGAAATTACTGTACAACCATCAAAGGCCCGGGCTGATGTTGGCAAAAGAATCATCGTTAGGGAACTGTCTTCTTCGGAATTTGGTTTCCAAGAGCTACCGGTATGTTGGTTTTAACACAGGTGTAATGATGTTAGGGGCACAATAACCAGTGATTGAATACGAAGAGAAGTTTGTGCCCCCGTAGATCGAGCTGTATAGAGGATCACTCCATGATTCGTCCTGGGATTGAACTCAAAACAAAAATTTACGCTAAACTTTACCTAAGAACAGCTTAGGAGATCCTAATTACCCTGAAATATTCGGCTCAAAAAATTCATAGCCGAAAACAAAGATCATAAAGAAAATGAAAATTGGCAGTCGGTAATGGGATATCATACAAATTAAAAACTCAAAAACATTTCTTTTAAACAGGTACATTTCTCAACGTAAAAGCGCAAAAACAAATCGTGCATGAAAGTATAGAGATCAGGCAACGTTATATAATTCTCTTCATATTAGGAGATATCCTGAAAATATTTTGTTTTCTTGTACTCATACTCTTTAATTTCCTCAAATTTTGTGGTATATTTGTGTTTTTCCAGAAAATATCCATACCCCTCCCATGGAAGGGTTTTTGGTTGATTCCCACTGCCCCTCCCCCGTCTCACTTGAAATTCCAGTTTTTGTTCAAATTTTCCTTTAAAAATTTTGGCTCTTGAGACCCTCTCCCCCTTGGAATTTCCAATAGCCCTCCTTTGGGTGGGTATGGATATTTTCTGGAATCACACATTTGGACTATATATACAGCCTAGTGGATCCTTAAAATTTTGTTAAGGTCATTTCATATCATTTAATCATTTCATTGCAGGTTAACTTGCAACTTAAAATATTCTCATACTTGGATGCAAAATCAGTTTGCACAGCTGCATTAGCATGCCATTACTGGAGCATGCTCAGTGACGACAAGGTGTTATGGATGAACTTGATGCAGCGTGATATGCACAAGTGGAGCACTATGGGATATAAGTCCTGCCCATCCACATACATGGAGGCCAGATCTGATTTGACTTTGAAACAAATGTGAGTAATTATAAACAAGAGTCAACTTGATCAATATAAAGCTTGGAAATAGGTCATCAGTTCTCACTTTTCTATGATGGTTTCAATGATTTTTCACCGTCATGGAGTGGGGATGGGTTGGGGGGGGGGGCGGGGGAGGGTGTAGAAATAGTGTCTGAGCTTCCAGCCTTCACACCAGCCTATTTCTCCTAGTACCCACTGTGGTGACCACATCCCCTTGATACCTTTCCTCTTTGATAATATCATGCAATATGCTGCACAATTGTGTGCTATTTTCACAGTTTCGATTCTACCCCTTAAGAACCCGCACTTCTTGCTGTTTCCTTTCCTCACCTTTATATATCTGCCCAGTTTTCCACCAGCCCCCTTTCAACCACCATTTTGTTCCTGTCTCTACCAGTCTAATCCCCCAGAAACCAACACTCGTAACATATTTAAAAATTTATTCAAGGCAGTTGTCACTCAATGAAATTAACTTAACTTGACTTGATTTTCTCTGCAGATACTTGCGATGCTGTCCTGCATGCAGATCTTTAAGAAGAACCAGAGAATCCTTTAAGTCGATTGTCTTTTACAACTTACAGAACCTGTCTTCATTTTTCAAAAGAAAATCACCCCGGTTGGTTATGTTTGGTCCTGGTTTAGAATCTGATACTAAAGGTCTTGTGCGTCAGCTACTCTGGGACTCAACATCACCATTTGAAGTGACTGGCATGTTTCCTGGACAATTTGATGGTATTTACAGATTATTTTTTATCTGTATTTCTAACCCAGAAAGAT